AGATGGCTGGATTGAAGTTACACGAAAAAACTCCCAAGCATTTCCCCGAGGGTGAACATGGTTAAGTGCGAATACACGGGGTGATGCTATGAGGGGTATCTATTAATTCGCACTATTATATTTATTAATCACACTATGGCGCCTTTATGGTGTAATGGTTCCTGGGAATCGCAATTTGATCACACGGGGGAGTTTACGTTAACTCATTGGCGAATGCCAACGGATTTTAACTTTACTCTCCCTCACGACCCGCTCTCGACGGCAGACTGAGAGAGAAGGCGGGCGCGCGAGAGAGAGGGGTGCGCGCGCAGCTGCAGCGAGCGAAGAGAGCGGAGGAGCGAGCGAAGGGGGAGGGGGTATAAGGTGCGTTACTGACACCGATATCAGCGTCGCGTCCGTGACTTATTCGGTAGAGCGTCGCGCTGCGGCCCACCAAGTCTTCTTTCTTTTAAGGATAGAGAGAAGACTGCGGATGCCACCGACGGCGGTGGATGGTTTGGGGTCGCTTATAAAGTGTATTCACACTTAAAAAAAGAGTACGCGCGAGCCAAAACTAGGTGGTGAGACAAGAAGACGCCCGTTCACCAAGCCCAATGCACCAAGGCCGCCGAAGCATTGTCAGCAAGGTTCTACGAGCAAGCAAGATGCCCAGACTGCCCAGGCACGATATCAAGGTAATTGTTCGGCCGAGGGACGGGCTGAATAAAGGAGCACGTGCGGTGTGAGTCTTCATGAGGCGATACGCAACGGAGCAGGAGTGGGTGACGACGAGATGATCATGATCTGCCCCAACCCCACGCAAAAAGTTTTGGTGATAAGACCACCGGAGGAAAGCACAGCGATGAAAATCGCCAAGATGAAGGTTTTGACTATCAACAGAAAGAGGTACGAAACGAACGCATATGTTTCAGCGCCTGAGAATATGACAAAAGGAATCATACGCAATGTACCTCTTAAATATAATCAAGATCAGCTCGTGGAAGCACTGGTGAACACAAGAAACCCCTCTCTAACGTATGCAAAGAGGCTCGGTAGTACGACAAACTTGATACTGCTCTATGAAGGAAACCGAGTTCCATCGTGGGTTTACTTCAACAGCGTTATGATAACAGTATCTGTGTACCGGAAACAGATAGACTTCTGCAAGGAATGTGGCAGGCTCGGCCACAGACCTGACGGGTGCCCAAGACCAGATATCAAACTGTGCCCAATATGTGGAGAAAAGAACCCCATCAATGGACACGAGTGTACGCCCCAGTGCCAAATATGTGGTGAGGCGCACCCCACGGCTGACCGGATGTGCAAGGCCAAATACAAGGTTCCGCACATAGTGAAGCAGAGAAGGTGGAAGGCCAGGTTCAGAGACTTTCAAGAGTGAACCCCGTCACCATCGGATAGCAATGCTGGTGCGGTGGAAGGAGGCCGCCCTAGTCGTTCGAGATCCAGAACCCGCTCCCAACAGGTCATGGGTTATTCAACCAAATCCGGACCCCCCTCGCCGGTAAAAAGACGGAGCAAATGTCGTACTACGAGCAGAAGTCGGAGTCGGAGCAGAAGCCGCAGCGAGAGCCGACACCACCCCCAACAAGACATAGGAGGGGCCACACCTGGCGGGAAACAGAAAGGGCCGCGCAAAATCACCTGGCGTGACATAGTCACGGGAACAAAGGTGGACTCCGCACAGGGACACCCTCTCTCCGGCCGCCCGCGGGCAGCCGCCCACCCCGGCCTGGCAGCGAGGATGGAGAACATGGAGAAAGAGAATAGGGAGCTTAGACAAGAGTTGACCAAGGCCAGAAAGCAGAATGAAAAATCAACGCGGAAAATTGAGGAGCTACAACAGACGCTGAAGGATATCCTCAAGCGATTGGGAGGACACCCCGCAGAGACCCCATCCTCTGGCGCCTACTCGTCCCATGGAGCTGCCGATGAACGCGACACGACTTCGGCAGTAGGAGACGGGGACACGGGCATGGGCTGTGGAGGTGAATATGAAGCGCTGGTGGCGGTGGGCTTTCAGCGTAAGAGCCCAAGCGATTCTCAACATTTTGAAGGCGCTGAAACTCACACGCAAGAACCGAAGCGGGCACGACCGGCTGGCCGAAAGATAGGCGTGATCGAAGAAATGGTAGACAAACTAACCAACAAGACAGAGCGACAGTTTGAGACGCTCCTCATTCGGCTGAACGAGTCTGACGCCGAAAGGAACGCACAGTATGCCGCGGTCAATAACCAACTTGCGGCCGTGAATAAGCGCATTGAATACCTGGAACGCGGGACGGCGCAGTTCCAGCAACAGGGACAAGGTCAAAACGAATTGGCAGGGGACGCATCGACCATTCTCAACAGAAGCAGCAATGTCAACACCACCCACACTGAAAAAGTAGGGACGCACGGACAGTCGCGTTCCCCCAACGCCTTTGAATAGCAACCAGGGCTGCGTCCCGCAAGTTTGTCGGCAGACGCACCGTCTGGCAATGGAACTGTAGGGGCTTCAAAAACAAAAAAATGGCAGCATATCCACGGAGTGAATGATGGAGAGTGGGGCGAAGAATTCGTCCGTCCATTTGTTGTTGCTTCCGTCCGTCCATGCGTCCGTGAGTGTGACCGTCCCTGCGTTCGTCCATGCAGCCGCCCCGGCGTCCGTTCATGCGTCCATCCATGCATCTCTCTATGTGTCCGTTCATCCATCTATTCAACACTTCAAGTACCACCATCTCGCATCTTTTCATCATATATTCCCCATATAGAAGCACCGCCATCCAGCGGACATTCCAAGGACTAAACGAGAGGTGGCACACGCACACTTTCTTACGGCTTGCGCTTCGGGTCCACTTCCCACCTTTAACCACCTCGAGTTCATGGTATATACTAGTTCACTGTATTCATGGCACTGCGGCCGAACGCTCGCTAAACGAAGGAGGTTACGCCCAGCGAGTATGACGTAGCAAACTTTTTCAGTCAGATAGTGCTCAATGTACGTGCTAATGGCTGCTAATGGGAAATGAGAGGCGGAGAATTCGGCTTTTACTTTCTTACGGCTTGCGCTTCGTATCTACTTCCCATTTTTAACCACCTCGAGTTCATTCCTGGTATATACAAGTTCATTGTATTCATGGCACTGCGGCTCAACTCTCGCTAAACCTTTCTAAAGCTAAGGAGATTAGCACAGCGAGTATAACGTAGCAACCCTTTCTTGTCAGATAGTGCTCAATGTACATGCCAATGGCTGCTAATGGTGATCGCAGCCTGCGCGTTAACTAAAAGCCGAATGGTCCTGTCTCTCATTCCCCATTAGCAGCCATTGACATGTACATTAAGCACTATTTTTTATTATTCAACAACGCACAGAAGAAGTTTCTCACCGGCACCACCTTGGAGGTCAAAATGTTATACTTGTTACAAACTACGGGGGATGAACGGGTGCCGCTATAAAGAGCTTCGCCCCTAAAAGCTACAATGGTGCAATATATGAAAACTCTCTCAAAAAGCAAACTTCCCGACGTGATTGCTTTGCAAGAACCTTTCGACCGGGCTCAGCTACCAGGCTATGTGGCATGTGGCTCTCCATGTGAATGCACGCGGAAGGACATAAAGGTGTGTACCATAGTTAAGAGAGGGACGGCCTTTATCGACCATTCACTTGATATCAGCGAGGAGTCGGACATAGGCCACAACCTGATTGAGGTCGTGCCCTGCATTAGAAACCGGAAGACCGGCCTATTCGTGCTTAATGTGTACAGCCCCCCTTCAATAAGGGCCTCAAGCACAACTTTGGCGCCCTTTTTCGCGAAGCGATGGCGAAGACCGCCTCCAGTCCCCTCTTAATCAGCGGAGACTTCAATGCACCGCACACGAAATTGGGATATGGAGCCGACTCGTGCAAAGAGAAGAGGCTAGCCGAACTGATGGACGATGTTGGCTTGGTTCTACTCAATGAACCGGCATCGCACACCCGGATTCGAAAGGGCGCGTGCCGCGACACGTCTCCTGATCTCTCCATTTGGTCAGACGCGGGCGCGATCACTTGGTCGAACACCTTTGAGGATCTGGGGAGCGACCACAGAGTCCTGTGCATGACAATGGGAGAGGATGGAGGCAAAATGGACGGCTGCCAAAAAGCTAGAGTCGTGGACTGGGACAAGTTTCGAGAGCAAAGAGAACAAGAGAAGCAGAAAGGGCTGATCGAGGATATCGGGGAATGGTGCAGGGAACTACTCGCGGACGTAGAAAAAGCTACAAAAGAAATAGAATGGCCAGACAGGTGAAAAGAGCCTGAATGTGGCGACAGGCCCTGCGGAAGCGTCGACGACAGCGTTCCCGAGCCGTTCAGGGTGGACAGTCGTCTTGCGCATCTTGTAGAGGCCAAGAAATCTATGCAGCGAAGAGCAAGTCAGCAAAAACTGAACAAGAAGATACGCAAGAAGATTGCCGAGATCAACCGAGAGATTGAGGCCCACTGCGTTCGACTGTGCGAACAGGAATGGCAGGAGCTGTGCGATACGATGGACGGAAACATGAGTGCAGGGCGCACATGGAAGATTCCCAGGCACCTGCTGGATCCAACCAGCACGAGAACGGCGACTCGTGTCCAGATGGCCAAGCTGCGACACAAGTACAAAGACGACCCGCAGGCCTTCGTGGAGGCGATCATCCAGACGCACCTCACTCGCCCGGCAGGCGAGAGTCACATGGAATACTGTGGGGCTCCCAACGAGGAACTAGACGCGGCATTTTCCATGCAGGAACTTAGAGCAGTCCTCCAGCTACTGAAGACTAAATCGGTGCCCGGTCCTGACAAGATCACCAACCGAATTCTGAGGAACCTGAAAGATGATGCCATCGATCAGCTACGTCATTATATCAACACATGCTGGAAGGAAGGCCGTATTCCACAAGAATAGAAGACAGCGGTTGTCATACTAATACCCAAGCCAGGTAAACCGCTTGAGGTTCGAAATATGAGACCGATATCTCTGAGGTCTTGCGTCGGGATAGCCATGGAGCACGCCTGCCTCAACAGGGTGACGACGATTCCCGAGAAGCGGGATGCCTTCGGCACTCACATTATCGGCTTCCGCAGAGGACTTTCGACGCAGGATGCTATGCTGCAAATCAAGGAACAGGTCATTAACGCACCAAGCACAAACGTGCGCGCCCTGCTCGGGTTAGACCTCAAAAGCGCCTTCGATACAGTAAAACATGCTGCCATTTTGGACAAGATCAGCCAACTAGGTCTTGGTTCAAGGTTCCACCGGTACGTCAGCAGCTTCCTGACCGGACGCAAGGCGAAGGTGAAGGTCGACAGTGCCTCACCACGAACAGTTGACATTGGGGGTGCGGGTACGCCATAGGGCTCGGTGCTCTCTCCATGCTTTTTAACCTCATCATGATCGGACTACCGGACCATCTCGACGTAATAGAGGGCATCAATCACACGATCTACGCAGACTACGTGACCGTGTGGAGAGAGACAGAGAGATAAATAGAGAGGAATAGCAGGGAGATTAACCAAGCTTGGCTCGGTTGGCTACCCTACACTTGGGGTGGGGGAAAAGGAGAATAATAGAACGGAAAGAGATAGAAAAGAAGAGGAGTAGGAAAGAGAAGCATGAATAGTCAGCTCGAGACTACACAGAACGGTCTCACACAGTTCTTTCACAAGCGGTCGTGAAATGTGTGGACCACAGCGAATACGAGCGTTGGTGAAATGCAAGAGAGAATGCAGCAGGCCGTCCGGGCCATGGAGCGGCACCTCGAAGGCACGGGACTCGTCTGCTCTCCCGATAAATCGGAAATACTCCTGCATAGACCACGCAAGAAAGGACCTCACCCGCAGGCTGTAAACGCCCGTCGCTTGGGCATCCGCGTCATTACGAAGAAGGGGACCCAAATACCAACGGTGTCCAAAATACGAGTGCTCGGCCTGTGGCTGGAAGAGAACGGTGCGAACCACGAGCTGGTAGCATGACGCAAATGCAAATCTGCAGCAATCCTGAAGGCGCATGGAAGCCAAGAGATTGTCCTCTTCGTCGATGCGGCCAGGTATCCACTGTCAGCCGGCGGCGGCGATGGGGGACGCTCGGAACCCCCACCGCTACCCGTGAACGAGCGAGGCGAAGTCGAGGCACTAACGCTACCACCACTGCTACTGCTACGACAACAACGACTGCAGCGACAGCGGCAACATCAACAACGAGTCTGGTCAGCGGCGGAGGGACCTGCTTTGCTTTCTCTATGGCGGTCCTGGATACAACAGGAAAGGTTCGGGTCACGGAACCAGCATGGCTGCCATCATCCGAGGCTGCAGAAGAAATGGCCATAGCTTTAGCGGTACTCCACAGCAGTGCAGACAACAGCCTGATTATTAGCGATTCTAAATCAGCGATTTGGAGCCACATTAAAGCCTGGGTGTCTGAGGAGGTGGCACGCATGCTTAACGCCAGAGCTGGGGACTTCGCGTCAGGCAAAATTACTGACAAGGCCCTCAAGTGGTTTCCCGCTCACAAGGCGGATCATGGAACTATCAACTACAACAGCCGTAAAACTAGCAGCAACAACGCCAACAGCCAAAGACTAACCGGCATCCCACCCAATCATAACGAGCACGCCCACTTCGTCGCGAAACAACTTACCCGCCGCGACACAGCCACCCAGGGAGCAGCCGCCACCGTTGTTGGGAGGAGCACCGGCCGATGCACGGAGGTGGCCACAGGCACTGGTAATGCCGAAATTACCACTCCCACCACGTCCGTTGATGCAGCAACTGAAGTTGGTGCAGAAGAGGCGAGACAACAGAGGTGCGCTGACTGCTATGGAGAAGAATTTCCTGCCACCACGACGTGCTTGCGCACTATAGGAAAGACCGGAAGAAATTTCCGCAACCCCACGTGGGCCTTGATAGGTCGCAGGCGGTGGACCTGAGAAGGCTGCAGACGGGCACGTTCACCAACCCCTGCCTTCTGCACCGCTTTTGGCCCACGCTGCACCCGTCGCCTGGCTGCCCGTGATGCGCGCACGAACGGGCCAATATGGCACATATACTTTGGCAACGCGAAAGAGATGAAGATAGGCCACGAGAAAGGATGATGTCAACTGAGGGACCCACCGAAATGGGGCACCTTGCTGAGCGATGGCAAGCCGCCCTTCTCAGCGAGGCCCTTGAAGACCAGGTGTGGGCCATCGAGCGGGCCAGGGCCGTCGCCGAGGACCTCAAAAGATGTTCCTCGAACGATGTGTCCCTGGCAGCCTAGCCCCGGGCACAGCAACAACCGTTGGGAAAATAAAGTTTATTAACTCAACTCAAGGAGAGCGAAAAGTTGTAGGCGGCTGGATAGATAGATAGATAGATAGATAGATAGATAGATAGATAGATAGATAGATAGATAGATAGATAGATAGATAGATAAATAGATAGATAGATAGATAGATAGATAGATAGATAGATAGATAGATAGATAGATAGATAGATAGATAGATAGATAGATAGATAGATAGATAGATAGGCTCAACTTGGCTGAAGTTCGCTAAGAAATGCTTCGCATAAAAAGAAAGCACTCTTACGAGTTAACGAAAAGCGCGCTGCGGGTCTCTGTGTCCAACTAGAGTATTCTGTCTTCACTGCCCTATGGATGGTGGCGATTGGCATATTGCAGCAGGAAACACCGGTAAATCACTGCATGCTTTGCTCCTCCAAATGTTTCTCTCTGGCGCAACGCCGCGATGATCACCAGCATCAAAGTCGCCACCAGTGTAAGCGTTCGCACCTGCGGCTTCACACCTACATGTAGTTCTTTTTAGTGGTAGATGGCGTAATCTTTAGGGGCTGAGCTCCTTAAAGCGGCACCCATTTGAACCTCGTAGTCGTAGTCGTAGTGTGTAACCAGTGTTACATTTTGACCTGCAAAGTGGTGCCGGTGAGAGATTTCTTCTGTGCTTTGTTGAACAATAAAAAGTTCGCGGCGTGCACGTTACCTAAAAGCCGAATGCTCCTGTCTCTCATCTGCTCTGAGGCAACTGGGAGAGCATTGCTGCGTTCGCAAGAGGTGGCCGCCAAAGGCGTTCGCCTCTGTACCAGAGGGGGAGGGTAAAATCCGAGGTTAGGTCGGCGCGTTGGCGGCTCACGTTCCAGGCATAGGAGGCATTGGCTTAGTAAGGTTTAGCGAGGGTTAGGCAGCAGTACCAAGAACTAGCGGCGGTGAAAGGTGGGAACTAGACACGAAGCTCTGGCCTTAAGAAAGTGCACGCATGCCGCTCCTCTAGTCCGGCCACGCCACCTCACGTTTAGTCCTTGGAATGTTCGCTGGATGGCGGTATTTTTATATGATGAATATATGATAAAAAGGTGCGAGATGGCAGTACTTGGAGAGTTCACTAGGTGAATGAACGGATGGACAGACGCACGGATAGAGAACAGAGAGATGCATGGACAGACGGATGGGCACACGGATGGTCGCACAGACGGACGCACGGCCGGACTGACGGATGCTTCGCCTTACTCATCATTTTGCACTCCGTAGATATGCAGTAATTTTTCACGTTCTTATTTCCGCTCGTTGCGTTATGTGTTTGAGGCAATGATGTAAATTTGTTCCCGATGCCGAAGTCAACATACACTGAGCACTTCCTTTAGAGGTGTCTAAAAAGCCTAATAATCTCTTTCACAGCGTAAATGCATCGCATAATAAAATTATTTGTGACCTTATTGGCAAATCTTACCACGCACCGTTAACCTGATCAAAAACCCGCATCTTGTACGCGCTTCTTTCTGTGCTTGAACTCCCGAAAAAGAATGAGAATCAAAAACAATTGAGCAGCAAACAAGCAAATTCTTTCCACGTAATTAAATCTCGTGTGCCCTGTGGCACAAATTTAGGTAGACTTAATTATTGCAGGGAAAGAAAGCATGAATATATATTCCGCAAACCGTTTTTCATTGTTCTGGTATATTGAGAGTAGGTCGCTAATTACCATGCAGCTTGAAAAAAATCGCGAACATGCTTTGTTTTTTCTTTTTCAGTGGCTTGCTGGAACATTTTGCTGAGTAGACAAGGTTCACTGGAAGGAGCTCTGAAAAACAGCGGTACAGGAACAAAGAACAAGGCACCCATCTCAGGGTCAGAATGCTTCACTAGTAACGCACTTTTGAACTACACGACTACAATAACAGTAATTGTGTGTTTTACAAGGAACCCTGAACCATGAAATCAATATGAGAGTTTCTGTAGTAGGGGGCTATGTGAATGACGACCCGTTGGGGTTCGTTACGTGCACCTAAATCTAAGCATGCACGCTTCTGGCGATCTGTCTTCTTCCAAAGGTCGCTGCCAAACCGGAAATCGATCATCTCAGAACGTTCCGGATTGCCCAGTATACATGTGATCAATCATCTCGTGACCCGCCGTGCCCGCACGCACGCACACACACACACACACACACACACACACACACACACACACACGCACTTACACACACACAGACACACACACCCACACACACACGTGCGCGAATGCACACAAAGATCTATGAAAGGATATCTGTTTTGGGCATCCCGACATGGGGCGCGCTGTTCATGACCTCCAAGCAGCAATACCGGATGTTTGTGGTTAAACCATAGCAAAGCAACCCATATAAGTTACTAGTATTTTCGTAGGACAAGACACCCGAACGTGTACAGCTTTTTTCCAAATGTTACATTATATTACTGGCTAAGTCATGCCGCTAAGCTGATAGAGGTACATAGCTTGAACACCACCCCCGAATATAAGGACGCGGCTCGACAGTCAGGCGAATAATTCAGCCTGTACGTAAAGGAACAGCTAGCACCGGATAGTACGAGATCACGTTAAAGTTATCAACGAGGAAAATTTTCCCAATGGTCCTCTATTTAGCTCCGAGCACGAGCACGGTAAGCGTAGTTTTCAATCATTTCACAATTTCGAGAACTTCCATCGCGTTCCGCACATGACATCGACACCGGAGAAACCACAGGAGCAAGCACTTCCTAAACGTTCCAGCTCCACGAAACATTCTGAATCAAAATTTTGGCGATGCTGTCGCTCGTTTAGACGCTCATTCTTCACTGTCCTATCTATTGTGATCACTCACGTGGTCACATGAGAGTAGGAGTGCATTCACCTAATATGACGCAGACAAAGCGGTTCGATTTCAAAAGAGCAGCACCTGCCTTTACGAGGATTTGGCATTTTCGGATTAGCTTTGATGAATTCCTTTATTTGATTCTAATGCTAACGCATGGTCATGAACAAATAAAACAGAAACAAGAAATTGTGAATTGTAACAGGTTACGAAAGCTATCACTCGAGAAAACAATCTCGCATCGATTAAAGTTATG